TATGTGTGCTAGATATTGATTCTAAAACCTCAGTCTATCCAGTGCTAAACTGTAGAAGCTGCCATTGCAGTTTGACATTACTTTAGCCTCTGGCTTTTTTAAAGCTTTTGAAGCATAGCTCAGAGCCACATAAATATTTAAGTACTGAATATGGTTGGAGAAAACCAAAGGAAAAAGAGATGGATCTAATTCAAATATTAATGATGATGCTTTCCAAAACATATACATTAGCACAACATGTCATCCTACGCAAGCCACCTGGTATTAATATACAATGGTAAATCTGTTCTTTCTATACAGAGGGAGAATTCAGTGCCTGGATTCTTGCTCTTAATAGTATGAGCAGCTTGTGATTATTGCAGTAAATATATAGTCAAACTGAACCCTAAATTGTACTGATCCATTTAAGATAACTTTCATATCATTATCCGTTTTATCAACTTCTCAAAAAGCTCTAGCTTTGCAGCAAATGTTTAAAAATTTAATTTAAATTTTTTTTTCTCCAATATTAGTTAGGGGAAAAGCAGCACTCATGACAAAATTAATAAAATATTTGATTATCACATGGAACAGAACGTTAATTGGCAATATAAAACTACATAATTAGACAACTACAGGGGAGTTATGGCAACAGAGAAAACAAAGAATGACCCGAGAGACAAAATAAGATTTGTCATCTTAATGAAAGAAATATGAAAATGCAATTCCAAATAGACTAACAGATCAGATCTTTTTTCAAACAGTTATAAAATTGAAAAAATGCTTGGCAAAATGAATGTAATATATGTTTTGGTTTTGTAGTAAAAATATCAGCATGCAAGTCTGCACAGTCTCCATGGAAAATATGCACAATTTTCAAAGGATTTACTCGTACTTATATTGAACAAAGCACAACTCAAATTGACTCTATTTACCTGCTGAAGCACATCCCTGCTTACATTTTCAACTGCATAGAACATTTTGCCTAAAATCACTTCCCTGCTGATTTCTTCAAACATTTCTTAACTTGTGTTTCTGCTTTTCAGAAGTTCAAAAGACAATGTAAAGCAGAACCCAAGACTCTATCAGTTTAAATGCAGCCTTGGCATCTATTAATCATCAAAGGTGATCATTAATCCCTTTACTGTGGGTAATACAAGTTACATAGACATGTAAGTTATACGCACCACCTAACACTCAATGTCAAAATCTGCATTTCTGCAGACAAAAAGTTGTTCTTTCTATTAAGCTCTTTCTTGTCGCTGCAAGAAACCATCAGACTGAGATTCATGGGGCCATCCTTCACTTTCACAGTCTTTATCATCAGAGGACACAGCGAGTGTTCTGCTGGGAGCGACTCCATCCATGTTCCCTCCTCCGTATCAGCATTAAGACAGGCAGGGTCCTCAAAGCTCTGTCCACTGCGCTACAGATTTGATTTAAGAATTTAATTTCATTAGCCGCAAACTTTCCACAGGACAACGTAGTTTTTGGCCATGCTTATACGTTTTCAATTTAAACCTGCATTTTAAAAAAAAGATCTCCATCCAGACAACTGCTTTAGCTTTGTGTCAGAAATAATAAAGTCCATACTAAATCACCTGAAAACACATATCACATGAACATTCACATACACTGTGCATGTGAATGTCAGTGTAAACAGGAAGCAGATTGTCTTCTCCTGTTGCAGAAACTGTAGCACAAGTGATGTGTTTTAAAACTACAACCTATTAGGGAGGATGCAGAGACAGAGCTCAGGCCCTCACACTTCATCATTGTCTTTTTGGGGCTGCTCTTTTATCTGCCCTCTCTTCTCCTGTTTAGAGTCAACCAACCCTGAAAAAACAGACGATGTACAAGAGTGTTATTTTTGGCAGCAAATACCAAGCAGGCAGACAGACCGACTGAGGACAGACAGTCAGGGAGCCTCTGCAAAAAGAAGGGGGAGGCAGGGATAGAGGCTGTAAAGCTATGGCAAAGATGTGGACTGGGCGACTTGACAGGAGTGATAAGTAAGAATGAATATGCCTCCGGCAGAGGACTACTGATTACTTTCTTACTATTATGGCCTCACGTTTTCCCAGGCAGTTTGCTATATGGTTGGCCGTAAAACAGCACAGCGAGCATACCAATGGTGTGGCTAATGCTCGCAACCTGCTTCCATCACAGCATAAAACACAACCATGGTTTAGATTCCAGCCTGCTGTGTCCAAATGACATAAAACGTACTGATGCTAACCAGGCTTTGAGTATATAGTGCTTTCAGAAAGGAGAAGTGACACAATTAAGTATACACTGTTAAATATGTCAACATGCTTATGTAATCACAATCATTTTTGCTGTGTTAATGAACACTACAAAGTATAGAAGAAATAGAGGAGCCACTCACTGCAGGAACTATTTAAAACAAATTGTTTCAGGGGATAAAACAGCTGGGGACACATCTCCAAAGCAAACAAATGAAGAAATTTAATATTAAACCTTTGGAGAAACATTTGTCTTTACAAATAAGGTTGGTTCTATCTTCTATTGCTTCCCTAATAAATTTGATCCAAGGACTGTCACACAAACAATACTCCAAGACTCCATACTTCTGACTTGCCTGCTCTGTCCAGAGCACTCAACCTCAACCCATGTGTTCCCAGTGACAACGTAAATGCTTCAAAGCAGGTTACTAATATAGTTAATGTTTAAAGAAGGTAAATAAAAGTCATTTGCAATGAATCATCTGGGCATTTCAACAGATTTTAACAGTGCTGGGGATTATTTCTAGCGGTGGATGAATACACATTTGATCCTGCAGCAAATTTTTACAGCAGCCAGCTGGATACAGCTCCCATGTTACTATAATTATGGATAAGAAACATTACATAAAATAAAGTGGATCAGAACTCAAGTATTTTTAGTTTTTCTTTTCCTGGGAAAATCAGAAATTAAGAAGCAGGAAATTTGACATCAAAATCATACGAAGGCTGGTCAGCCACAAGTATTTGTTTTATTGTGAATCGGGCTCAAATAACTGTCACTATACCAGGACCAGATGAGCTAGTACAACAAAATGGATCACGTGAAGACAAAACTAGCCAGCGGTGAACATGTGGCTTTGCTGCTTGTAAATATGCCAAAAGAAATAGCTTTTAATAGCCGCATGATAGACACTTTGTCAAGTGATGAGATGCACTGGAAACTGCAAGCGCAAAAGTCCAGCGACAATTGACAGATGGACCCATGCAAGACTGTCTGAGTGTAAGAGTGTAGCTCACTGGTCCGTTATAACAGGTTGTTGACAACAGCAAAGAAGAATAAGCTATCAGGCTTTGTTTACACAGGCAGTGTTTGTTAGTACAGTCAAGTGTCGTAGGTTTGGGGTTTGTTTGCTATAAGAAAACACGGAATATGACAAGCCGTATGCTTTGATAACAAATTCAACTTGACTTGTGATATTCTCCATCTATCTGAGCCAAGCTCCACACAGATAGCAGGAGAGCAATGAGCAGCACAAACCCATGAGCTGGTGAGCAGCAATGAGAGCTGCATGCCCCCCCCCCCCTTCAGTTATTGTCATTGTGATTGTGACCTTATCACTGACTTGCCAAAAATACTGCTTGGCTTAGCTGATGTTTCACAGAAGAACGGCAGAAAGAAAAAGAAACATGCTTGGCTAAGCAGTAGCTGTTACCTCATTAGGGCTAGTGTTCCATGACAATGTTTAAAACATGAACCGCACACTCATTTAGCACGTAATTTGACTGACGTGCGAGAGGGTCAAACCAGGGAGGGCGGCAGTTGGTGTGGAAGGGTCTTGATCATTTAGATAACATTAGCTGACTTTAACTAAGCTATGTTTCTATCTCTACAGGAGATAAAAGATCTCTTCTTCTTCCTGAGGTTTGAAATTTTCTTGCAAAAACTGCATTATTTCTTTTTTTCTTCATCTTATGTTTTTGCTACCTTTCAATCACTCTGTCCCATACTCTCTCTGTGCCGCTCTCATGCACACACACTTCATTCAGTTTTCGAGAGCACTGTAGGCACAGATGCCTGTGGTTTGGATCAGGCTGAGGAAGCAGGAATTAATTCTAATCAGGCTCGAACAGGGAAGAGCTATTCAATTCTTCAGCTCTCCTGGAGTCTCTCAAACAAGAAGCCAGCCCACCTCTACTACCTGTGCAGAGTCGCTCTCAAACACACACACGCTAATGCACATAAGGTATCAAACACGACAGTCTCAGTGTGCACGGTATTGTGATATCGCTTGGCAGCTACACAGAGTTGTGTTTATGAAACATCAGCTGCGTCTTTGACATTGATACCAGGCTAATGAAGCCCCTGACACCCTCATTCAACTGCCTTTTCCATTTCACTGAGAATTTGAAGCTTCCATGCGAATGCTCACAATAAAAACATGTTTGTCAAGATTAAAAGCATTGTGGTTTCAATGTCAAAAGCCTTGGTAACAGTGTCTCGCTATTATCTACTCCTCTGAAGAGCCTCTCCTCTGCTCCTCTCCTCTTTCCCCCTTATTCCCCCTTTTATCATTTGCCTCATAACAATGTGTCAAACACAGCCACAAAGCTCATTTGGGAGAAATGCAATCCATCTGCCTCTCCTTTCTATATATGCCTTCACAGTTGCCTTCATTTCCCATCTCATTGCTGCCTATGGATAACGGCTCTGACACCGTCCATGTGGGGATCCTCCTCAAACGTCCATGTCACCACTATACATACTTCTCATTCACTGACTCCACATGTATTTCCATCTACCATCTCCTGTCTGCTTTTCCTATTTCCATCTCCGCAATGGGGGGAATTTCAGCATATTGCCCTTTTTGGCACTTTCTTCTCTCCCCTGAGCGTAGGACAAAGCATTATGTTATAGACCCTTCTTATGCATCATGGAAGTGGCTGTAATAAAATGGGTAATTCTCTGCAGTGCACCTCTCGGCCATCATGAGTTCAAAGCCTCAAACAGCGTCCTAGTTGGCTCCTGTATGACTGCACTATATTTTCTCATCTTACCTATGGGTGACAGCTCCGCCACGCTGCCAATATAGGGACCCTCCAAGAACTTGGGCTCACTGTCGTTTATGTCCTGGACCTTGATGACAAACTCTGACTCCGGTTCCAGAGGGTCGCTGGAGAGCTCGTCCCGGGCCTGAGCCCGAAGTGTGTAAGAAGCCTTCTCCTCGCGGTCTAGTTTTTCTGTGGCATGGATGTCTCCTGTTTGCTCGTCGATGATGAAGATGGAGCCTGCCCCTTCTCCAGAGATAGTGTACTTGATGTTGCCTTCACCGTCATCTGAGTCTGTATGGATCTGTAAATTGAAACAAAATTAAGTAACATTTTCCTTTTTTTAAAGATAATATTTTTGCAGTAGGTTATGTAAAAAAAAAAGATTACACCACTGTATTGGAGTCAGTCTAAGGTCTGAGATATAACTGCTTTTTAGCCACATGATCGCATAGACAACCATAGATAATAATAATAATATAATTGTCCACATTTTACTGGAATATTCCACTAGAGGGGCACATGACCACCCAGATCTGCATTCTGTAGATTAAAAAAAACATGGCGCCACTAGAAGTTACCTCTGAGATCACAGTAAAAAAGTGATCATCATTTGAAATGTATACCCCTTAAATTAACGCCGACTTGAGAGTAGGGGTCCCTACCCTACCCCCACCATTATGTGCATATTGCATTTTTTCGCATTGCATTGATTTCTGATTAAGTGTAAAACTGACACACCAAACGGATGCAGGATGTGAGGCAGCCATAATGCATTCACACATAGTTAAAAGATAAATACGATAAGATATGCTTCAGTGTCCCCATGGGGAAATGTTCTTTGGGTACTGTCCAGCCTGCAGTTTCACATTAAATATAATATTTTACACATTGGCCTATAATGCTTCCATACACATGCCACAGTTCACAGAAACACATACACATCTGACAATGATGGCATATTGCACTGTGACATATTGCACAACTTCTTTATATGAAATATTTCCAAAGAGGTTACATATCGCACATCCCTTATGGCAGGCGTCTACATTACATATTATTCTTGAGGAGCTTAATTGAAGCAAAAGTGTGTTTGGTCAAAGAATGGATTTTTCTCTGGATAATATATTAGGTATATAAGGTACATGCATGATATGGACTAAGCAACACATTTATATATTTACAGATACTCGATGAAAGGAAAAGCACCAGTTTTCATGTCCTTCTGAAAATACATTATAATTACACAGTGGGTTGTTGGTAGCCTTAACACTGCTAAAAAAGCTTGTTTGTTTGTGTTAACTTATTCAAAAAGTATACATGATGTCTTGTTTAATCTCATGGAGGCTTTTCTGCCATTTATTTTGTAGCCATGGAGGAAACAGATTTCTGATGACAGAAAATTAGGTGAAAGCATTACAATGTTTTACTGCAGAAACTGACCCTCTTCTTGGCTAGTTGACAAATGACCCTGACAGTCATTTGTCAACTAGCCAAGAATTCAGCTGTCACATGAAGTCACAATGAGGTGCTCATAAAGACAGTTTGACAAATTACAACCAGAGAAAAATTATCCTATTTGCTTTAAGAGCCTGACCGGACAATGTGTGAGCATAGGTGTAGGATTTATGTTCTTCTTTCATTTCATGTTTCACATTTTGCAAGATAAATTGTTTCTTAAGTTTAAACTGTATCCTTTGGGAAACTTTCCTGCCAGGACTAATGCTATGTATATTCAATATTTATATATATTATATTTGGGCCAAAATTGACTTTAGTGTGGATACATTTGAAGACTATAGGACAAAACATAAGACTATAAATGGGCAGAGGACTTCAGCGGACCAGAACTGACCACCTGGGAAGAGGTAATTGACCAGGAGTCAGAGGGCGGCTGGAAACAGATCAACTCCTTTCACATTTGCTGCCAAAGGCTACCACTGAACCATGACAGAGGTGATGATCTTCCCATTATATACAACCGCTTGTTGTCACATTACCAACACACTTGATGAGACCTGAGCCTGCTCCCCTACCGACGTCTCGTGAATGGACCTTTGAGTCGGGGTCATTTGTCACATGCAAGTTTCTATTTCGTTTAAACTGCTGTGAATACTGATGTTTTTTTGTACTTGATAGTCATCAGAAAATTACGTTTGGTCGCCAGCCGTGTCCAAAAAGAAATTAGTACATTTCTTCCATCCATTCCCTTAATCTTATTCGTCAATTGCTAAAGCAGCTCAGACCCTCTTTAGCTCCCTGTAGACCAGCCATCACCAACGTCGTGAAAAAAAACCTGCCACACTTTCAGTAATGATTTACACCTTTTCTGCACATTGTGCCCTTCACAGGATGTGACGCCCAAATTAGGAGATCAAAGTCATTTCAAAGATTGTTAAAGGTAGAGACATAGAGGTGGCGCGGCTGGAGAGTGAACTTAAAAGAGTCCTTATAAATCAGAGCTATATTTCCCCCGTAATGTGATTAGAAGACATTCCAGTGGCAGCAATAGGAGAAGTATCGGTCCCCCATCCCAACCTCCCCTTTGGCTCTTTAGTGAGCACTAGACCTGCTCGCTCTCTCTCTCTCTTCCCTTCTCTTTCTCTCTCTTGTGCTCACCTTCCATCTGAAATTATAATTCAGAGCTGTCTATGCAGTGTAAGTGTGGTTCAATCTACTGAGCAGACCAGGGGAGAGGGGAAATCGCCCTGGCCTCCCTGGTTAATATTTTATTAAAGCTTAATTAAATACAGGCTCCTATCACCCTCACGGGGGTTTTCATTAAATATTTGTCGTAAAACTGTGGAATAATGCAAGCCAGTGCCTTGATATTGCTTCCCTCATCCATTTTCCCGTCCCTCTTTATCTTTCTGTTTTTGCCTCTTCTTGCCATTCTGAATCATCCTGAAGACAAATACATGAAGAGTCTGAGAAAATATACTGCTGGATGCTTTGGCCGTATCAATATTTCAGTTATAATAAAAGAAGTTTCATTGGTCCACACTGCGAGAGGTATCCAATAAAAGTGCACACTCATGCGACACTAGATATGATTCCTCACCGCTACTCTGGATTTCTAAATCAGATTCTGCAGACAAGAATGTGTGTGAGCCGCTGTCATCGTGTGTTAATTAAATTGCACAAATTCATGCAAATTCCTACCGGCTGTACATGTGCACATGGCCACACGCATCTGCCTTATGTGTGTGTTTGAATACACACACACAAACACACACACACACACACACACACACACATGCACGCAGAGTGAGTCCATCATTCTGCTGGGATGATGCTATTTCTCCCCCCTCAGGCTGGATATACCCATCCGTCAGTCTATCCTCACTGGAATGATTCAAGTTGGCAGCTTGAAAAATACACAGACTACGCTTAGTTAAGATGTTCCCTGCAAACTAAAGGTCAAAGCCAGGACTTCACTCGTGTAGCAGGAAAAGTAACGGAGTCAAAATGTGTCGTACAAATTTAGATAAGAAGAAGACGGAGAAAACTTGAACCCTCTGATGAGCATAACCAAGAATCATTGCTGCTCCATCGGTCTAATCTCTGAAGCACCATTCTGTGCTCACTCTCTCTCTCTGTTCAATTATGCAGTTGCATCATTAGATCAATACAATAATATGAAGAGGGTAAAATATTGTGTATCCCTTTTGGATTCAGCCAAAATTTATATTGGCCTGGTCAGAACTAATGACAGTGGGGTATAACCACCACCAACATATATACGTGCAGACCTACAAAAACACCATAAATATTTAATAGGCACTCCACAAATCTATCTTTTGATGTTCAAACAGTCCCTGGAAAGAGGATCATAAAAAGTTTTCTCGCTGACAGGTAACAGCAGCTTCATTCAGCTCAGGTACAGTCACAAACAGATTCCAGTGGACACATAAAGCACACACAGGACCACAGGAGACCACTCTAGAAACACAATTCAGTTCCATGAGTGAGAACAAAGCTAACACAACTGTGTGTGTCTGGGACAAACTGCAGCTGTAGAAAAGTGCATTTTACTGGAGCAAATGCAGATTTTTTTCTATGGACATGATGATACTTTCTTCAATAAAATTGTAATCACCTAACACAGTCACGTTTAACATTAATCAACTCCTTTGACAAGGATTTTTTGGGTCTATTTATACTTTGTCTGTCATGTAACTCACCAAAAAAGTCGTTTTCAGACATTAACTCCAAAAAAATACTGGACAAGGTGAAAAGGACAGTTGCATATTGGTGTTATAAAACAATAGGAAGTTATTTATTGTCGTTTGGCCCTTTTATTCGGCACATCTATCAACACAGTCAGCAGTTGGCAGGTTCAGCAGAGGGTGTTTAATACTTTTAAAACCACAACTGCATACTAAATTCAGCATACTTTTACAAGACATTACAGTTCATATTTGATCATATACTGTAATGTTGCCATCACTGTAACAGTATCATCACTGTAATTAGATTAAGGTAGTGATTAATCACTTATAACTATATTTAACCACAGCTATACAAATAGTTTCAGATACATTTTTAATTGTTTTTTATTTTATATGTTTACTACAAATAGTTTTCACAGTATTTGAATTTGAAATTCACATCAAGCTGTTGAAGCTGAACTTTAGCATTTTTGCACATTTGCACAGAAGGATTTTCTTACCTTAGAATACAAGTACATAGCAGCAACATGAAATAGCTTCATTAGACTGATTACAAATGTAGCTATACTCACTAGTCTTATACTTGCCATACTTTGTCACAGTAACTTTGCAGTTATTATGATTCAGCGTCAGGCTTAAGTTAAACTTCGAGCTAGTACCAGTTAAAAAGGCCTCAGGGTTTACAGTGGAGGGCTGTAGGGTGACTCAGGGGAGAGCGAGGTTGTTGATGCCCTGTCAGGTTCACCTCTGGGTCATAACAAAGTGTCAGGCTGTCACTGTAGCCTAACCTGCTGAAGGGGACGACATGTGGCTCAGACGCAATGGCAGGAAGTTTCCTTCTGATTTGGCAGTCAGCTCTTTCTGGAGCGTTTACATTAAAAGTGAGTCAAAGCACATACCTAATGGTGTTGGATAATGTAGTGTTAGGAATACAGACCGTTAGACATTTTTAACACTCGAAAAAGCTGTAAGTTGCTCACAGTTTAAAGACAAGCTAATAAGAATAGCGTAGCGAGACATTTGAGGAGCAGGATTTTATTTTTGCAGTGGAGATGGCAGAACGTGGGCTGCGCTCCGCACTGAATCCTTGGTTTATTGAGGGTTTCAAAGCAGGAGCAAATTGGCTGTCTTATATTTAAGTCTGTGTAATCAGGAGAAGGCCTGCCACATTTCAGTGCAGCTTGTCAAGCTCTCTGATCTTAACAGCTTCAAAGTGTTAACAAGGTGACTGTATCAGAGACAGCCTAGGTGGAGACAGCTACAGGGAAGGAAGGGTACGGACTATAGGAAACTGATTCAGAGACGAAAGGGGAGACTTAGCGAAGGGGTAAAAACAAGACGAAAATGAGACGGACAAGAGAAATTAAAATAGGTGGGTGTTGGAGCTGGGATGCAGCGGGATGGGATGCACATTTGCACAAGCTTAGACAGATTGACATCCATCCATTATCCATCCATCCTTACAAAAGCCGAAAAAGCAGAGTACACAAAAGGCTTTCTCATCCAAAAGCACCATGTCGAAGAGCTCCACAGTGCTTGTTTTTATTCCATCCCTCCGATCTTAAGCTGTTTGGTTCCTCTCTGATGACAGCCTTGTGATGTCGTTACAATTGGACCTAGATCTGACTAATTATAGCTTGGATCATTACAACAAGGAGAATTGCTGTAACGGGCATAGTATGCACATTTTCTATCGTTTGATAGACTGTGTCCGTAGCGAAACACTTCTTTTCTGCTCATTCATAAACACACACGGCATTAACATTATGCCACCCAACGTTACTGAGGTATCATTTTGTCCTATTTCTACCTTTTATTTATTTAACATTAACACTTCAGCGAATAAGACCGCCAATCAAAAACTACCTAAAAACCTTAGTTCACAATTCTATGAGAATTATTCAACTGCACACCAAACAGGCTGCAGCCAAAATCAGAGAAACGCCATAAATCAAATGGACATTCTTCAGAAAAAAGCAGACATTTTGGTGAACAGAAAGAATGAGGCCATCTGTTTAATTTGGCTTCAAGTTGAATGCAGAGATTTATAATAGGACAGAAAAGTGTCTTGAACATGGACTGTTCACTGTTTATGCTGAGGAATGCTATGCCAGATTCATCAATAAAGATCAGCAAGTTGGATGTTTACAAAAACTCTGTGAAACCGCTCAGGAAACCCTTGAACTGCACTCTTTTTGTTGAAGGAATATAAAAGCCTCTGCACATTATACACAACTCACACAAACATACACACAATGGGCAAATTTTTGACACTTTTTGTCAAAATAGAGGTGTGGAAAACATGGCATAAGAAAAGACAAATGTGTCATTTTCTTTCCCTCCGTCACTTCTTTGAACAACAGCCATTTAGGATTATCTGTGCTCAGCAGCAACTCCATTTTGAACAATCACGGCCTCCACTTGCAGTGTGTTCCCAATACCCACCCTTCCATTACAACACCGTTTTTGAAAAGCAGTTGGCGAGAAAAAATTATATAGTTGTCACATCATGGAAGTACACAAGGATTCATTGTCTAAATGTACTGACCAAAGCTGCCAGATTAATGTCATGTCAGTGACCATTTTATAGGTAAATATGATTTCATTAGCAGAGTAGTAGCAGTCACAGAGGGAGATGGAGCGAGCTTGGCAAGTTTGCTGAGTTGGGTTAAAGTAACATGAAAAAAAAAATGAAATTGCCTGGTAGTGAAGCATGCTGCTTGGCTTTAATCCTCCACTGCTCAAATTAAAGTGTTGATACCAAAAATCCAGCTGAGTCTATCTGCACACACAAACACACACACATGCATATACACACAGATGGACACTCACACACCATTAATAGTACTGATAGCACTGGGCAGTGCCCTATGAAGTGCAATAACTTTACTTTTTTATTAAGAAAATCATCTCTCTTCTCCCTCCTGCTGTGTCACTCCCTCGAGCTCCCCTCAACCCTTTTATATCAGTTCACTGGCTTCTCTGGCCCTCTGTCCTGTAATGAATCACAAGTCAGTGTATGAAGCCTCTCGCTTCCTATAGGCTCTCTTTGCACTCTTCCCTCTTCCTTCATTCCTTTCCTCATGTATCACTGGGTTTCTCTCTGTCTATCTCTCCGTCTCGCTGCAGACAGACAGCTCTGCCTGTCGGCTATGTTGTCGGTTTCGCCGGCAGGAATGCAGCAAAATCACGATGGCGTAAATGTAACGGTCGAAAGATAAATATTCTCCAACAACCAGTGCTGCTGTGGAGAACATCTGCATTTTTTAATTTGTAAGAATAGAGATATCAATACATGCAGATGCAATAGAAGCTGGTCAATTACCACCTCTAAATGATTAGAGACAAAGGGATCACATGATTGATGTGCATGACTCATCACAGAGTCTCACGCTGTCTGCATTATTCCATCTTTTCATATCATGTCCGGTGTACAGCAATCAAATCGTACATGCTGTCCACTCTCATCAGCTCACTGAGGATTCATCTGAGAAGCAGCTGACGAATAGGATGAGAACGAGGAGAAGAAAGGGAGACTATTCCCCAACCACGCGTGGCACAGAGATGATTTGCAAACATATTTGATTTGACATATATTCATTGTCGATCATTACTTAGAAAAATAAAATTTAATCAGAGCACTTCTGGTGCCAGGACGTTGTCCTAGACATTGAAGAGAAGGGCATATGTTGTCATCACTGATTAATGTTGCTTTGTTCCAAATAGTTCCAGAAACTACAGAGGCTAAACTTGTAATGAGGGGTCACTAGTTCAGATTGTATCTCTTGCATCTAAAGAACTGTGAAGAGTATTTGAAATCACACACAGTTTTCCAAGATAAAAAACAGGCTTCATGTAATGACCAGATACAAAGACATGAAAGGACTTTCAGAGTTGGAAATCTGAAAACTCCCAAATACTTGGCTCTGATATAGTTGTTATCTAAGGTTTTACGACTAGTTATGTCTAGTTTAGTTGGTAGCACGAGACTGGAGGCTTGTAAACTCTGCCCCAAAAGTTCCTTGGTGATCAGAAACTACTGGCCTTGGATTTAGCTTAATTTATTAGCATCCCTATTAGCGACAGCAATGCAGCAGCTATTCTTCCTGGGGTCCACAGGTTGTCTTTTATGTTTGGAAGGGGAGGGTGAGATGAGGGGTATTCATCTGTAACATGATACTTCACCACTGGATGTCACTAAATTCTACATACTGAACCTTTAACTTTAACATTTAACCAATTACAGAACAGACTGACATTCTCATGAACTTCTGTGTAGAATAAAATATGGCTGTCCCGTTTGTTTAGAGTACTGTCACTATTAGTCATTGCATTGAATCTTAACTACATTCTGAGGTAGCCTTGGTTTAAATGTTTTGTTTTTTTTCTGTTCTTTAAAAAAGCAATAGAGAAATGTGAATGCATTCCCAAAGATTTTATGTTTCAGTCTTACCTTTCCAACGTAAAGTGGCTCTGTGCCGGTGTACTCCTCCACCACAAAGAACTGGTTCCACACCCATCCTCTCTTAACTCGCTCAAGTGACGAGGGTTCTTGGTCCTGTTTATTCCCTCCTGATGTTGAACCACTAGTCCTTGAGGCCTCACACGAGCCAAAGCTACAGCAGCTGAGAAGGCCCAAAGCTGCCAACAGTGCCCAAGGTCCTGTTGTCCGAGAAGGAGCCATTTTCATTAAAAATAGAAGGAAAAATAGAGAAAGATATCCAACGTGGGTCTACATGTAATATAAAAGATACATGAAGACAGAGAGAGTTTTTCAGTTGTAGTTTTACACCAAATAAAACTCCATCAGGGCAAACTTAAAAGGTCTTTGTGTGAGATCTTGAAAGTTAATCCATGGGATCATGAATCAATCTGAAGTTATCTGCTGAATACAAGGCAGGTCATGGAGCATATTGGATTCCTACCACCTGCAGAGTACCTGTGTGTATTGTAACACAGTCAGTCATTCTGACTCTTTTATAGTTTCTACCCCACTTTGTAGAGTTTCTTATATTAAGAATGACCTACAGTAACAGGCAAACAACCTCCTGTAGGCTCACTTTTGTTTTAAAGGAAACCAATTTTTACAGATTTGACCAGCCGTTACTAGCCATAGAAACAGGGATAGAGTGGCATTGAGGAGCACGCCTCTGAAGAGTGTTGTTTTTCATTAATTTCTGTCTCTCTCGCTTGCTCGCAGAGCTTCTCATCTCATCTGGGGCAGATCTCTTCAAATGGCCGGTGCACCTTTTTAATACCAAGTTGTCCAGAAGTTATTCTATGGAACTACTTTTGCAAAGAAGCCTATTCTGTAGTCCACTTCCCAGAAAAGTCATGACTGGTTTTGCCTCCTGAAGCAGAATCCTTGAACAGAGGAAAGGCCAGCAGATTTTACTGCTGGTGAGATTGTTTGATCTTCAATGGCTTTTCCCTCCAGAAAAAAACCAGCGGTTTGAAAAGTTCATTCTTCAAAGCTTCTACGGTATTTCTTCGACCATCGTGACAGCTTCGTCAGTGATTCAAAGGCAGGGAAAGGACAAACCTGTAATGCAGAAAAGAAAATTGCTGTTATCATAATTGCAATTTGGACTGAATCTGGAAGTGTTTTCTACCTGATACTTTGAAAGGTCATTCGAGCATTGAAATAAGTCTGGGTTTGAACAGACACCATTTTAACTTTAATCTATTACTTTCACTAAGCTCTTTGAAAACATCCCTAACACAATTGATGAATTTGTTGCAATTTACAAATTAGGAAAAGAAATCCTCTGTCAACTTTCCATTCATCTTTGCCTCTCTTTCACCTTTGTGTGCTCAGAGACACGAAATCCATAATGTGTTGGTTCCGTTAGGATTATCCTGAGGAAACTGTTTTCCACCAGTGATTCTTGTGTTCAGCAAGATTCTAACAATGTGCTGTGAGCTGGAGAGCAATGGAAAAACAGTGAAAAGAGGACAAGAAACTAGGTGTGCGGAAAATAGGAAGGAGAGAGACAGAGGAAGAGAGAGGTCATTGTTCATCACACACCAGACCCAAAGCATCTGTCTACCTTTCGTCCGACTGATGGAGCGGCCCTAACCTCAGTCGGCTGATTAATTGCATGAGGGAGCACTAATTGGATAAAAGTATTAATTAATTAATTCTATCCAATGAGGCAACAACACCCTAATACTTCAGACAAACATTGGGAAGTAGATGGGGGGGGGCAGACACGGTCCTTGGCTGCTGTGAAACATGCAAAGAGGCAAGAGGGAAAGACAGAACTGATGGTGCAGAGACAGGGAAGAAAAGGAAAAGGGAGGCTGCGAAAAGATAAAGAGAAACAAAAAAAAAGAAAGAGCAGAAAAATGACATAATGAGTGAAAGACTAAAAGAGGGAACGAGGTAGAGTGTTGTGGTTTGTTGTAGATGTGATTAATAGCCTCCTTGAAACATTCTGAACGCAAGTCGTACAACAAAAAGAAGGAGAAATAATATAATTTAGTTTGTCTCTGGCCTTACAACCCAGGAAAAGCTGCAACACAAGTTGAAGAAAACGTCTTCGGGCCTGCTGGTGGTTTAACCTATTGCATTTCTGCCGGCTGGGAGTCGACTTCTAATCTCACTCGCCTGCTGCCTGGTAGCAAGCTTGGAGCTTCCGGAAATAATTCCTTCTCAGGCCGTTGGTCAAGGCAATGTCCGTGGTATTGGAAACCAACTGCTCTGGGGGGGGGGGGTCCAATCTCCAGAGCAAACACTTCAACAACAACTTAAACAGCTTATATCTCTTCATTCAGCTGGTTGTTAACAGTTGGTGTTATAAATGGAAGATCAGTATGGGTTAACACACGTATGGGTCAACATCATGTTAAAGCTGCAGTAAAAGAGAGAAAGATCGTCACCACAGTTGTTTGATTTTATCTTCTGGGAATTTAATTGACTGGATGACAATCAATTCAGTAGTTATATCCCACATGGATATTTCAGTCTGGACCAAAATGTTGGGCAAGCAGACCGAGAGGGAGGTGTGTGTCTAAAAGGAAAACCTTTGCCGAGGTTGACATCTTGATTTTGAGATTTAATATAGGTCAAGCACCAAAACCACAAAAACTATTTTAATTAGGCTGCATCTTTGAAATGTCAGGTCTCCAGTGCATCTCAGGCATTCCGTTTAAAAAAGGCAAAGCAGTAACTGTTTTCACAAACTAAGGGACTCCCCCAAGACAACAAATGTCTTGGTGGACTACTGCCACACTTTGTGGTGTTGTCTGCCCCGGTAATCACTGATTGAATCTAGTGCAGAATTACTCCATCTGCTAGACTCAATAACCATCTCATTTTCACTTCGGCCCACAAGTAGGTCAATGATATCTAATCCAAAGAAAAAGCAGTGCCAGCAAACTCACTCAGACCCAGTTACTCACACACTTTTCTTCAGGTAAACTTTGTCTCTCAACACTGTCCCTTTGTGCCCTGGAATGTTCGGCCAGGCAGACAAACATCAGTGGTGCACTGTGTGAGCATTCTGCCGCCTGCACTCACTAACAGTAGGAGGGCTCTCCTCATAAGGAGCTTTCCTCTGACAGCAGTGTCTTCTGACTCTGCCCTGTGCCCCTCTGTTAGATCCACCACTTGCCCCCGCAGAGGCTGTTGGCCGCTCCGTGCTGCCTGGCAGTGGAGATGACAACTATTATCGCCGTCTGCTGAGGCAGGAGCTGTTCTGCTCTGCAACCAAACTCCACTGTGATATTAAAACAGTTCCATACTTGCTATAAGGATGTGGCTGTCTGCCAAAGTCACACAGACTGTTGCTTGTCTGCGGCTTAGCCTCCACCTGAGATACAAAGTTATCTCTCGCTGATATGAACGATGTCCTGCTCCTCCACCATCTGCTCAGGTACAGGAAGTGAGCAGGTGAGTGTGTTTGAGGCTCCTCCTGTAGTTCCCTTCAGTCACCGTCCTGGGGATTATAGAAAACTATACAAAAAATCTTCCTTTTAATGCCTCCAGGATTCATTTTATGTGATTTAATCTATTTATTTGTTAAACTATCGCTCACCAAATGAACCATGACAACAGCAGAGCACACCGTCTCTGTTACTATAGTTACTGTGGCTCAGCATTAGACCTGGTATGTTCAGGTGCAAAACTCTGGTCCATCCAGCCACTTAGTCAGGACCTCACAAATGTGTGGTGCTGTATAAACACAACACAGAGCGTTCACCGAGGGGGCACTGCACCAGCATCATTGAGTAGGCCTAAAACCTGAGGAGTCTGAGGTAACTCGAGGACAAATTTAAATGTATTTTTTATTACACCTTAGGATTGAAGCGGTCCCCAACTGCTCACTGATGTTCCTTGTGAACTGACTTTCCAGACACTACCTTCCTTTTGTGTGAGTATATGAGCTAATGCACACATTTAGACTGCATGATATGAGCAGAGCCAGGAAGTAATACTGCATGGCGTTCTGCAAAGGAGTATATAAATATGTAAATGCAAAGACAGCTCACCATGGAAACGTTTAAAGCCACTGAAAGCAGGATCTCTATGTTTTACAATTAACTTTTGTGTTTTTTTTTATCCATTTATTTTAAATGGAGTAAAGTGTTTTTAACAGTGTTTTTGTTATGCCACGACCTATAGATGATAATGACAAAGTAAACCATTTTTTGTCTGAACGATTCCAGGATGGTTGTGAGTTTGGTTATCTGGAGCAGAAGAGGAGCAGCTAATCTTTGCTGGAGCAGCTTCTGATTGTACCACTATAGTGCACACTCTTGAATTGCAATCAGAGCACCTATATTTCTCAATGCAATGCAGCATTTTCAAGTGATACCTGCAAGTACCAATCAAATACAAGCAGATTCCAAGTAAGCTTTTGTGTGAATGGTGATAGTACTACTCTTCCCCTTGCAATCATTAAAAGGGATCAGTAAAACAACTGCTGCCATGAGACTTCCTGCATCTTATTTTATTTCCTCAGTGCTCTCTGTAGCAACATGCCCACGCTGCTATTTCAGGTTTGAACTGACAATAAACAAATAGGAGCCTTGTGATTTGCCTGGTGCTTGCACATCGCTGTGGATTGTTATTGTTTATTGCTTTTATTTCTGTAAATAATCTAAAAAATAAGGTATAATTTATTGCAGCTAGAACAATGTATTACCTGTTCAGTGCACACAAGATCAGAAGTAGTCAACTACAAGTCCAAATAAAAGTTCATGTTTTTGAAAAAACTTACACAGGTATACAATACTTTTAATGAGATAAGAAAGGAGTGAATCTGTTTTTGCACTTTTAATGAAAGTCAGTCAAAAAAGGCAAGAAAAATCTCTCTTGACTTAAATGATCACACGTCTCTTTTCAAGTTTCCAATTAGATATGTTTGAGCTGTTGAACGATAACTTCAAAGAAATCAAAATATATAGTGTATTTCTCTGCCTCAAAGGCAAACAGCATCGGGAGGAAAGAATTAATTCATTTTTGCCTATCTCCACTTCCCCTGTTTCCTTACAGTAGATGACTTAACAGTGCGGCAGGCGGTTTGAATATGTTTAATTAGAAAGCATTTGTATCAAGTCTTTTTTTTTCTGTGTGAACCAACAGCACATAATTTGCATTGCAAACTGAAACATTTACTGAGCACCAACTGCTTGGTATCTAAAAACAAAATCCACACTCCTCCAATGAATCTCTCTCTC